TCTACAATCCTCAGGCAGTGGAAGTAGTGAATGTAGGAGCCAGACAGCAGCTGGGCAATCTCCTCGCTCTCCGGCATGTCCTGAATGGCAGCGTTGATCTTCTCTCGGATCGTCAGCACCAGACCCTGCCATTTCAGGTTGCAGTGCCGCCTGTCCACCAGCCAGTCTGGGGGGAGAGGACACGCGCAGGGCCCAGGTCACAGGCTACGCACACTACCCAAACACACACCATGATCCCAGGCTTTGGGAGGCTGAGGCAGGAGGATCACTGTGAGTTTAAGGCCAGCCTGAGCCACATAGGAAGACCTTGTTTCAAAACAACAACAAAAATTCCACCAATTCAGCCTTAACATGCTAATGTATTGGCAAAAAGCTGTCCTCGTGTTGGCAAGGTATGGGGGGGGGTTGTCCTGGAAGATCAGAGGAGAGGTCGGGGATAACAGGCTCTGGTGGCCTGTCTCCGGTAGCATTTTTTTCCCCACAGTCCAATCAACTCCATGGAGGGATAAAGAAAAACTCTGAATTGGTCCTGACATGAAAGTGCCTCTTCTGAGCACTCTGAATTCTCTGCCACACTGTGCTTCTTGGGTAATTACACCTTTCCTGTTAACAGATGCTGCTGCTGTACTTCCACCTCCTGGGGCTGGGATTAACTGCGACAACGCAGAACACAAGGCAGCTACGCCAAGAACTGGACGAAGGAGCAACTGCAAAGCCCCTAGTGCCTGCGGCAGCCTACGGACTAGAAGGGAACACCAGGATTTCTGTTTGTGTTTCTTTGAGAACCGGTCTCACCATGCAGTCCAGGCAGGCCTTGAACGCACACTGATTGTGCTGCCTCAGCGTCCTGGGTGCCCGGATGACAGCTGTGCGCCACCAGCCCGCGCCACCAGCCCGGCTTCCTACCAGTCCAGCCTGCAACGCGGAGCCAACTCTGCACAAGTGACTGACCTCGAGGGGTCGAGGCTGTTGCACGGCTTCAGAGACATGGACGCTTCCTCTGTCGAGGAGAACTAAGACCTAAGTTTTGTGGTTAGGTCCTGGCTTCTAATTACCAAGTTTCTTGGCAAACTCTCTACTTCTGTGCCTCGGTTTCCCAATATGTACTATAGGGAGAACAATAGCAGGATATGGTGCTGCACGCCTGTAACTCCCCACTCAGGAGGCTGAGGCAGGAAGATCACTATAAGTTTAAAGTGAGGGCCGGAGAGATGGCTCAGCGGGCTAAGTGCCTGCTTAGGCAAGCTCAGGACTGGGATTCGATCTCCAGCACCTCAGGTTGCACTGGCCCTGCCCCCCAAGGCATGCTGAGCCGGGCCTGGTGTCACCCGCCGGTAATCCCAGCGCTGGGAAGGCTGAAAACAGGAGCATTACCATGAGACTAAGTCGTGTAGTGGGACCCTGTACCAACTACGTAAAAATAAATACATAAATAAAGTGAGGCTGGGCTACAGAGACATGGTTTCAAAGACAAAAATAAAATATAGGCATTAAGGGGGCTGGTGAGATGGCTCCGTAGTCTAAAGCACCTACTTAGAACAAGCTAAGCCAAGCAAAGCACAGGAACCTCGGTTCAATCCCCCAGCACCACATGCCAGCCCGCCCGCCCCCTGGTGGGCTGAGCTGGCCATACACT